ATATTTACTAAATAAAATTATTTTAGATTTTAGAGCTACTGAGCAATTTAGCAGCATACTTCAAACATCGACAACTGCTAAGTTCATTTCATCCCAGTAGCTACTCCAGCGCTGTTGTGGAGAGTTTTTGAACTGTTATTTACTGCTTACAGATGGCCACTTTTCAACTATTCTACTATGGGAGTTAGTAATCCTTACTTCTACACTCCATATCTACAATGCTGAAATAGGTCCTTTTCTTTCTAGAACTTTTTTCGTTCAGCAGCTTTTTGTCCATTCATTAAGCAGTGCCAGTATATTTTCAAGCTGCGAGTTGTTAAAAATAATTCGTCAGGGATAATAACGCATACAAGGCACAACATAAGCTGTAGCTGTTTGTCCATAGGCTGAACATATTACCATCAAGTAGGCTTTTAGCGGTTATGTCACTCGAATATTATATAATAGAGGTAGGTATATAACTTGGTCTTTACGTGACCATGGGTGATGCCAAGTACTTAAAGCGAATGAAATGTAAAAATGTGTAATTTAAAGGTGATAAAATGCACAAAAATTGATTTCATTCTATTATTGTTATTATCAATAATATTCGCGTAAACATAACTTACACAAGGGCCATCTATTGGTTACTATATGAATTTCATTGCGTTGTTGTACCTTTACCTTTCATTGTTGTTAGTTTTAGAAAATAGATGTCGCTTTTTTTTTGTTCTTAACTTTGATTTTTTTTATTTAACATCAGAAACTTAAAACGAAAAAGTACCTACTTCCTTATAATGGTTTTTAAAAATCTCCACCTCTCATCATACCGTGGGTGCCGTAAGAGGCGTTAGAGGTTCATAAATCGGGAGATGGACAACAGCGTCTTGCTAGTAACGACTTCAAATTAAAGCATGGCAACTACGGCAATTATCCTCTTATGATGCAATCTATGGGGGAGGCTCATGTTTAGCAGTGGACTTAAATAAGCTGTAACGATAACAGTTTCAAAAATATTATAAACGCAAACGAGTTTTGTTTTTACGTTAAATGCAACGAAGTACCTATGTATTGTCATTTACCTACGTAGGTTAAAAATTCATTGTTAAGGCCGAATACGAAGAGAACTGGCGAAAATTAATGTATTTCTCTTGACTAGAACTTTGACCTGAAGTAATTCTAAGCTTTAAAACATTTTTGTAGGTTTGTTCGGGTCCTTCACACGGTGACCGTCATTTTAAAATTTTAAAATTAATGAATATACCAACAAATAAAAAAATGTTAAGAAATGATATATAAAATTATTGTTCTTCCAAAACTCTGTGAATTTTAATTTAGGAAAAATTCTTTTACGTAAAAATGTTTGTATTGTGATTCCGAAGGTACCTGCTCTATTGCTCTAATATCTCTTTAATATCTCTAACTGCTCTTTATTTTCGATACAAAATATTATTTATTAACATAATTCGTTTTAATTAAAAACACCTAATAATAATATCGTATATTGCCAGATAAAAGTTTGCCGTAATAAATTACCAGGCGCTTCGATGTGTGACTTAAGGTAACAACATTCGATGTGTCTGTAGCGAAAATCGTTAATTTAGTGTTTTATACGCGTTTAAGTGACTGTAAATGTAAATATGGGTAGGAAAAAAAATAAATGTTACCTAAGTGGTAAAACAAAGAGAGTTTATCGCATGAACGCTGCTCGAATGTTGTATTTTGAGGTTAATACTTATATTTTTGTAAGGTAAATTTTTGTTTGAGGCTGCCTAATAGGTTGCATAATTACTCATTTACATTAGCCAAACTGATCATTTATAATTTTCTGGTTTCAAGTGAGAAACACTAAAAATGTAAATATCAAGACCCAGTCGGAAACGAATGTACAGAGTAGTGCAAGCACAGAGACCGCAAATAATGTCATAGTCAATGTATTGTCCGAAAGCGTGGGGTAAGTACATAATTAAGAAAAACCGAAATACTTCGGATGTGAAGTGATTGACCAGTCGGAGTAGTCTTGTGAGAATTTACATACACAGTACCTATCCCCACTATGGGGCAATCACCGACTTTTTAGTTTTTTTTCTTTATTATTTATGCAATTTGCATTACGGCATCTTGTAAGACTCACAAGAACAAACATTTTCAGTTATATGAGGTTCTTTACGTACGATGCACCAATTAAGAAAAAAAATCGTTATAAATTCAATAACTTTTCGAACAATATTTTATAACGAATAAAGTACAGAATTTATAATCTATAGGAACTAATATATATATATATATATATATATATATATATATATATATATATATATATATATATATATATATGTATATATATATATAAATAAGAATTTACGAAGTAAGCAATGCTCTCTGTGTTGTTGATTACTCTGCATACTGAGCTAGCTCGGTCAAATATAATATAATCAAAGCCCAAACAAAGCGTAGGTACTGGCGGCGCGTGGTTTGCTGCGAAACGAGCAAGGTCATTCGCGTCGTATTCGGCCCTAAGTCTTCTCAATTTTTATTAGGTGTCTTTTTAGCTAATTACATATTAGCATTTACGATGGTAGAAAGTTAACGTAGAGCTAACCCTGCTGAACCTAAATCTAGTCAAGGCTACTTGGCCCTGGGAGGACGAATAATCGAAGACGTATCATTTTGCGTCTATGATTTTGTTTACACCCACAAATTTGATAGACATCGTGAAAAGGTTGGATTATAGTTGATGCATGTAATCATGTGAAAAATAGGCCCATCTAAATATTTTACTCATAAGTTTTTCATACAAGAAAAAGTAGCGCATCTGTCATAATACAAACGTCATATCATAACACGACGTAACCAGGGTCGGATTTCGTAGTATGATTATCCTAATTGGTATCATTATTTCATAGTTTGTAGTATATAGTATCGTAATAATACTAAACGAAAATACCATAATTTTGCTTAAATGTCGACTTGTATTATTATTGGGTCCTTTTAGTTTTTAATATTAATCGTACGATATCGAGAATTTCTGTATTGTACATGAGTACCGCGTTTTTTAATAAAATTGGAATTAGCGCCCTTTCTGGTCAATCGGTGCTCGATCGATGCATTTATGTTGCACCCCTGATACGAGTCTCATTATATGTATGCGCGGGCTACCACCATAAAAAATCTCTATGCTCCAGAAGCAATCGGTTTGGAACCAAAATTTCAAAATATTTTATGAATCAGAGTTTCAGATTCAATTAAGCCGATATGGTTTCTTTTGTACTCTTTTCGTTTTACCCTTATTGAATAATAAATATATTAGGTAACAATATTCAAAATTTAACTTACACTAAGTTCTTTAGACAAAAATTAAACAGAAATAAAAATAAAACCGTTAAAAAACGAAACGTATAGATAAACTAGACGCGTGACGCAAAAATCCCGGCACATGGGAAAAAAGGAACATGAAACCTAGAACGTGATACGATTTTTTAAAAATACTATAATTTTATTTTCCATGTACAATATTTTTGAGGGTCTGAATCCAATCCTGGCACTCTAATCTTAGTCTCGTGACTAAACTAACTGTAAAATAAAACTTTAAAATAAGCGTTTATATAATAATTTTATTGTAACAATTAAAGTAGAAGTTAATATAAGGTTATTTACCGACGATACGATATCCCAAGTTTTTTAAAATCTTTGTATCGTAATTTTTGTATTCTTTTACCACGCAACTAGACATATTTGTGACGGGCAAATCTGTCCTGCGCGCGCACCACTGTCAACTGATTCGCGTTGGTCCTAAACTGTAATTTTAGGGCCAACGCATTGGTCCGTTTTAGTTGTTCGGTCGGCCCGGTCCTTACGCTAGTAATATATGTCAATGGTGAAAAATGAAGTTATTTTACTTTTAGTTCATGAAAAAAAAAATAACTGTAGAATATATTGTATTTTATTTTTAGGTACACATTATATATAAAATAATAAAAATTAACATTGGTACCTTAATCCGTAATACAATTTGTATATTTATTTACAACTTATTTAAACTTAAAAGTACTGTATCGTAATTTATTGAATTAATTGTAAAACTGTATGCAACCTCGATTTTGTTAAGTAAAAACAAAAGCATAAAACTTTTCAGAACATAATAAGGTACTCAGTGGTATAAATTATTCAAGCTAATCATAAGATTAAAGCATTTAGAATTTTGAACCTTCAGCCTGACCTATTTGACTAATACAATTTCTAGAAACCATCTCAATTGGTAAATCAAAAAGGCGAAAGCTCTGAAGCGTGACAGCGACCAGCTTAAAAAATACTAATTTTGTACTATCTATAAAAGCAAATCTAACACAAAATAATTTTGTACTTGGTATAAAAGTAAATATCATAATAATGTCTTTCAGAGTGAATTTCGGTGACGGCGGCCGGGCTGAGCGCAGGCGACCCTTGCCTGTGCATCTGCACGGGACAGGATGTAGTGCCGAGTGTGCGCAAGCATAGTTGCCCTTTCTTTTTCCTCATTCTCACAGTCCGATGGGATGACAATCCTACACGACTGGAGAGATCAGTTACAAGATCAAAGGCTTCACGTGCTTTCCGTCACACGAGGGTGAAACACCGCCGACTTCCTGACTCCGGGCTGTTAGTGCCTCAATAACTGATTTTTGATCTGACCCTGGATTCGAAACCGGAACCTTATGATAAGCAGTTGTACATAAAATATATTAGTAAGAACATTGTACTATTAATATTTATAGCCTGTGTCTAGTAGTTATAGTCCTTACACACGTGACACAGGCATCATAATATTACGTCATTTCATTCAAACTGCAATAGGTATGTTTGCAAAGACTAGAAAGTTCTGATTACCTATTGAATAGACATAAAAAAATTTAAAGTCATCGGTAACTAATTACTTTTGGTACTTCAGCACTTAATTGCCCCAGCTATGGCGTGTCAGTTCATAAATTTCACTATCATCTTGTACTATAGCTATAGGAACTATTTTTCGTTAATCTTTTACGTTACTCATCTAATCTGTGCCGTTTTAAAGATCTACTACTTCTTTTTCTTTTCTTGGGTAACCAAGTATCCTTTATCAAATCACTGCCTTTCTCAGCTATCATAATTACAGGTGCGTTGATATTCCCATTTGTTATCGCTGGCATAATACTAGCGTCTATTACCCTTAAGCCCTGAATACCATAAACTTGCAATTGGGGATCAACTACCGCCATTGGATCACTTGAGGGTCCCATTTTGGCCGTACATGATAAATGGTATATTGTCATTGTGTACTGTCTTATGTAACATTCCCAGTACTCATCCGTGTACAGAGGTAAGTGTTTACAGTTTGGTACTGGCTTATTATTGAACCTTGCTCCCAGACGTTTCATAGCAGTAGTTTCTCCTACGGCAATAGCCGCTTTAACGCCTTCTCTCAAAACTCCAACGTCGTCAGGGTGTGTCAAGTAGTTGTGGTACATTACTGGATATTCCAACGGGTTTTTCGATCGCAACTTTATAAAACCTGTACTCTTCGGTCGGAGCATCATAGGGAATATACCAAAAACATCTTTGCTCGTCAAGTGACCAAACACCTCTTCGTAGAATTCATCTGTTATACCGTGTGCCTTCTTTACTTGAGTGCCACCGTCTGAAGGGATAGACGCCGACGTCATCATGAATTCCATATCAGGCCAATCTTGCGAGGCATTCGCATATTTTGTATTAATGAAGGCAACTACTTCTAATCCAATGCTTGAAGTTAAAGGGCCATCTTCAGTAATAGCATAACGCAGCGCCGAATTTATATTAACAAGCCTATTCATTATTAAACTTACTGGGTAATCGATCTGAAACACGATTCCCCCAACAGCAATGTGGTCTTGCAAATTCCTTCCCACTCCGGGAAGATCGTGAATCACGTCAATACCGACTTCTTTCAAGTGCTGCGCTGGTCCAACACCTGAGAGCATTAGGATTTGTGGCGAGCCAATCGCACCAGCCGCTAAGATAACCTCACGTTTCGCGTATACAACTTGCTTAGTTTCGTCCTTTATAAATTGAACTCCATACGCTCTTTTGTTATCTTTGTCAATTAATACTTTGGTGACATGAGAAAATAAAGATACGTGGAGGTTCTGACGTAATCGAACCGGTCGTAGAAATGCTTTTGCTGTGGAGCATCGAGTGCCTCTTCGCATGGTGAACTGATACCAGGCGTAGCCAGTTTGTTGTGCGCCGTTTACATCAATTATGTCGTAGCCCATTTCTTCACCGGCTTGAAGAAAAGCTGCTCCTATTGGCGTATTGTAAGGTGCGTCTTGTACAGTCAAGTAGCCTCCTGAAATTATACAATAAAATAAAATAAATATTGTTTTCTTTTATAAAACTGAAGCGGCAAAGGAATTTACAGTCCGCCTGATGGTAAGTGGCTACTGCAGTGCGTAGAAACCTGCAGCTTTAAACAAAGAAGGCTGCATATACATTGTCACCTCCGGGGACTAAGAAAAATGCCTCATAGCTTGTAATTATACTGGCTCTCTACTACCTTTCAGATCTATTTGCTGGCAGATATAGGTAATAGGATGATACCTACTTATATGTACTTCTAGACAGAAAAGAAGGTCGACCACCTAGTATTCATCTTAACTAGCTGGTAGGGCTCCTTACTCTGCCTATGGTTTGGTTCTACCCTCCTGCCTATTTTGATCCTTCAATCGTGAGAGCATATTATTATCTTCCACTTTAAATGATTACAGAGTCAGAAGTGCCCGTCACCAGTAATGCATCATTAAGGACTGCAGAAGCTATTTAATAAATATTAGGTGAACTGACATTAATTAAAATCCCTTTCATACTATTGGACAATTTCAAAAGTTATAAAAAATATAATAAAAATGGGCTCTTTCCATTTTCCTTTCCTATTTGATAAGATTCTCCTGAATTTATCAAGCTTGGTTGATGAGTGCAGAGCTTGGTTGATTTTTAACCAATATTGAATTTCACATTTTTACGGCTACCGCTGGATATTTTTTTATAATTAATTATAAGATTAGTGTTTGACTACACATGGAGGCATCTTCATCACCGAAGCTCTAGATGATAAATCTCTCTGGCTTAGCGTAACAAAAGCCTATTTACTTTTTCCTTGAAGACACATTTTGAAACAAATCAGGACATGAACAACAAGGTCTTCTTAATATCAACTAGAAAATAAAAATGAACACTTAAGTTGCCGAGAGTGGCAACTTAGGCAAATATCGCCCTTATGATTATAGGAGGCCTGTGCTCAGTTATAAAATAAGTGAATAAAACTGTGGTAACCAAATTCCTGCACTTTTTTTATAGAAGAGTGGGCAAGCGAGCATGCGGCTCACCTGATGGTAAGATATTACCGTCGCCAATGAAAAACTGCAACACCGGGGGAATTGCAGGTGCGTTGCCAGCATTTTAAAAAGGAGTAAGACCCTTTTTTGAGGGTCCCTAAGTCGTATCGGTCGGGTGAGATTGGAAAAATTGTAATTTATTTTTATTTAATTATAATTTCACTGTATTAATGTTCAATTTTTCTTTTAATAACTTACCTACACTATGGTGCCTGGTGTCTTTGGCTAAGTAGGGATTTCTTTGGTCTTCAGATTTTTTGAAATAGGGTAACACATCTTCATAGCCCCATCCAGGATTGCCGAAGGATTCCCACTGGTCGAAGTCTCGCTTATTGCCACGTATGTAAAGCATAGTGTTGAGGACTGATGATCCTCCCAACACTTTACCCTTTGTCCAACTACAACGCTTTTCTTTCATGGCCTGGCAAGCGGAGTCTTGCGGCTGTGTTCTGTAATGAAAAAAAAATCCAGAAAAATAAGTGGAACTAATGCTTTTATGGTTTGCCTTATGATTCTTTTTTCACCTTTATAGAACGGATTTTAAGCGAAATCGAGACTTTTTTGAAGACAGATACCACGTATTAGACTTTGTGCTTATGCGTTTGTGAGTGTACATGATCATGATCATGATCTTCTTTTAGCTGATTTGTATAATGACGGATTAAATAATAATAAAATTTCAAGATCGTCCCAAAAATTATATCAGATTTGATACATCACAAATCCTCACAAAAGAACACCGATTCCTACCAAGGATGATACGCGAGGATATTGAAATAAAAAAATATCCTCATTTCAATAGAGAAGATGGCTGGATGCTACCATCTGCTTGGGATCCCATCATTAATAAAATTAAAAGCACACTACTGAAAGACTTCAAAATACGTAAAAAATATGTAAGCTCGTTCTGTGTAGATCGGATCAAAAATGAATAATTAAAAGCTGAAGGTAACTTTCGTTAACTATGATGTCAGGACGTCAAACACCTCAGTGTGGCCATGCGTGCTGGGTATTCCCCGAAAAGTCGGGAAATAAAAAAGTTTAAATTAAACGTTTATTAAAATCCGGAAAATTACTTTTATTCAAAATAATGAATCTATTTTCTGGTTTAAATTTCTATAATGAGATGTTAATTTTTCAAAAAATTTTAGAGAAACAGATAAACAGTCCACCTGATGGTAAGTGGCTACTACAGTACAGTATCTCGCGGCATATACGCTATCACGCTTATATATTAGGTCCTTACATATGAAATTAGCGTTTTGTCGTACCGACCACTTTGATCTGAAATATCTCCTCTTTGGTTAAGAGTTCCAAATTCAAATGTATAAATTCATTTAGATGGTACATTTGAGTTTTGAAAACAGTCATTCGTTTGTTTTTTCCTCATTATTTTTTTCTTTGGCGTCGCTTAATGGAAAACATGAAATATCGGTATATTTACGAGTACGAGTTCTACCGTGGCACCAGTGCTGCAGAAACAGCTCGAAGGATTAATGATGTGTACGGTGCTGGTGTAGCAAAAAAAAGCGCGGTACCGATTACAGCAGATATCTATTGTCAGCAACTACAAACCATGAAGGAAGAACTGGCTGCTAAACAGCCGAGATTGGTCAATCGCTCTAGACCACTGCTGCTTCACGACAACGTAAGACCACACACTGCACGACAAACAACCACTAAGTTAGATGAGTTACAATTGGAATGTTTGCGATATCCACCGTACTCCCCGGACCTTGCTCCAACAGATTACCATTTTTTTCCGGAATTGTGACAACTTCTCACAAGGATAATAATTCAACTCCGATGCGGCAGTCCAAACCACCTTCAAAGAGTTTATTGATTCTAGCTCTCATGTTTTTTTTAGTAAAGGTATGAATGAACTACATATGAGATGGCAAAAGTGCATAGATAACAACGGTGCATACATATTGATTAATTAAATATATTTTGCAAAAAAAATTGGCTTTATATTCTTCCCGTACAAAACGCCAATTTCATATGTAAGGACCTAATATATAGATATAGGCTTCAGACCGGACCACAGTAGTGCAAGCACTGCCATGTGGTGGCAGAAAAAGCTTAGAGGGTAGTTACTTACCCAAATGGATTCATAGACAGAAAAGGTGTTCTACCATCTTTTCATTTTGTTAACTCTTAACACTTTCTCAGTAGTCCCTAATAAATTTAAAATAGATGTGATGATAATAATTTAAGTCGGTTTACACTGCTTAACATAGGCCTCCCCCATAGATTGCGTCGTAGGGCTATTTGTGATAGTAAGCGTGGCAACGCTTGGCAAGCGGGTTGCCAACCGCAGTTTTTATTTTTTTGGGTGTAAATATGAAGACACTGCTTTGTTTGTTGCCCTCTGTCGCCTCTTGTGACACCCACGGGCTGATATGTGGTGGTGAATAACAAAGTTTCAGCCTATAAATCGCCACTATACGGTTTATTGTTTTTTTATGGCATTGGGTGAGAAACGATCACACAATAAGGTAAATGGATGCTGAGGCCCATAGATAACCACATTTGTCCTCGATTAAGAATCAAAATGCAAATGCGTTGTCACATCTGAGGCCTAAGATGGAATGCCTCGATGCCAGTAAAAATGATCTCCGGTTCTCTACACTCACCATACAAAACATAGCAGCATTACGCTGGTATTCTGTGAGAATTGCTGCTTCGGTCGAGCCGACGCACCCGTGCTACAACTATAATAAAGCTGCAGTGTGTCTCTACCACGTAAAACGTGTTATTTAATAGTCCAATTATTTAGTCAATATTAAATTCTCCGTCAGCCAGTAAAAGTACGAGTACACAGCTGGAAATTGGCCTCTTCTGTTGTAGAGATTTAAACACACACACACACACACACACACACACATACACACACACACACACACACACACACACACACACACGCACGCGCGCGCACACGCACGCATGCACGTACGCACGCACGCACGCACAAACGCACGCACACACGCACGCACGCACGCCCGCACGCATCACACACACACACGCATCACACTCTTATAGGATTCAAAAGAGGTATAGATTTCCCTTCACGTATCAATATAAGACGTATTATTGTATCGACGCGTACATAATCATGTCCTGGAAATGGTCTACTTACCGGTATTTCCAATCAAGTTTGCTTTTATGGAGATAAAGTGAGAGTAAGGGAACATCACTGATATCGGTTTCGTGTCCACCGGCTTCAAGTAGCAACACATTCCAGCCTTCAATTTCCGATAACCTATTCGCCAGCACCGCCCCCGCTGAACCGCCGCCCACGATCACGAAGTCGTACTCCTCCCTCAGGTACTTCTGGTTGAATGGCCTATTCTCCGGGTCGAGGAGGTCGTAGTTGAAGTAAGCCATGGCAGCGAGCATAGCGGGAATGAAAGTCAGTTTGCTAATACCGCTTATTGTTAAAGCGGATTTAGCAGCCGCAGCGGCTGCTGTGAATACTCCCATGGTTAACTATGTTGCATCTCTTCTCCTGAAAGTAGAAACGAATATTATTTAGGACATATCTTAGGACCCGCGTTGTTTTGAAACTGTAATAGATTAAAAAAAAAACATGCTTCACTCATACGCGACAGAAGTGAAACCTTCAAATTAAATGAAATATAAAATACAAATACTTTACGGCAGATGATTAATTTAATTGATTTATTTATTATAATTTAAACTACAAGTTCGGCATAAAATAGATAATTTAATTTTATAGTAAATAAATGTAATAATCCTTTTAATATATATACTAGACACATAGATATTATATTTTCTTTCGAGTAAAATTATAATAGCGCCACCTACTTCATTCTATAGGTAGTCACTTTATCGAACAACTGATTGACACCCAAGGTGGTACGTAAAATAGACGCTAGATGGCCTGAATTTATGAAATCATGAATTTTTAATGAATGTTTTTTTTTCAATGTGGTTAATTGTATTTGTTGTTTTTTTACTGTTTACTGCCGCTGCCACGTGACTGCCATTTCTATGTGAATATCATAGATTATGAAAAGTGAACCATACAGATGGGAAACTTACGAAACTACCTACTACCGGTTTTGATGGTTCTTTTGTTATTCAAATTATTATTACTTGGACTCATTTATTTTATGCTTATTTTATTTAAACGGCATATTTTAATTTGAGGATTAAGATGGAATGCCTCGCTTCCAATAAAAATGGTATCTTGTTCTCTACACTCACTATACGAAACACAGCAGCATTATGATGCTATTTTACGTTAAATATTCTATAGGAGCGTGATTGAGCTGACCCATTGAATAAAACTAAATTTACGGATTCTATCGCGTTTATTTAACTGATTTTACTTATTTTTAATTCCCGACGTTTAAATCAGTTAAATAAACGCGATGGAATCCGTAAATTTAGTTTTATTCAATGTGTAGTGTTCGCGTAAAGAATCATGTCCATTATTGACCTGAAAATTTTCTAACGCGTCTAGTGATTTAAAATATCTTATAAAATTGCATATTTTTTTCTTATTTCGTATCGCATAATTGAATTTTCAAATAAAGCCAGGAAAAAAAGGAATTCTACTTTGTTTATCGTTCTTAATAGACTTTTGGAGACGGAACGTGCTTTACAATAGCTCAAAAGCCCAGAAGCAATGCCATTAAAAACGTATTTTCCACGTTCCGTTTCAGACTACGAAAAACTTGTTCATTCATCATGTTGTTTATGAATGTTCAAAATAACTAATTTATTTTTTTATAACTTATTAATTTATGATAAGATACGATATTTAATGGTTTTATACTACGGTGTGGAAAGAAAAATAAGTATACAGACCTTGTTTAACAGCTGTTATAACCTCAAAATTTTATTTACTTAATAGCATTTTTCTCTGGCCTCTAAATGAAAAGAAGATAAGTTATTATGTTATTATAAACAATAATTGTTTTTATACAACAGTAGTTGTAGGTAGATGCAACCTGTTCAAGGAAACAAGTGACAGGTCAATCAATGTATGGAAAGTGGGCATGATTCTTTAAGAAATCATTATGAGCTGACCCATTCAAAAAAACTATAATATAACTGCAGTATGTATGAAACCACGTGTAAAAAAGGTATGAAACTAAAACGCTCCTTAACATTTTAAAAGAAGTACCGTATTTAATCGTTGACCTGGTTGGTTTAAGGCTGAAACTTTTTTAATATTTAGAACATGAAATTTTAGAAGGATTAATTGATTGAATTGTTAATAAACGTTTCGTCGGTGGTTACGATCTGATTCGAATCGAAAATTCAGTTTTATTGTATTCCATTGTATTTTTATGGCTTTCGATAAATGGCGGCAAAACGGTCACATTTACGCTAACCGGCGACAGGCAGTGGCATCAAAGATGCCAGACATCTGGTGCTGCAGTCTTCGATCTTCCTGCCAAGCGTGACTATTAAGGCGAACCTCTACAACAGAAGAGGCCAATTTCCAGCTGTGGACTTTTACTGGCTGACGAAGAATTTAAGGTTAATAAATGATTGGACCATTAAATAACACGTTTTACGTGATAGAGCCACGCTGCGGCTATATTATAGTTGTAGCACGGGTGAATCGGCTCGACCGGGGCAGGATCACGCTCTTACAGAATACCAGCGTAAAATGCAACGTAATGCTGCTATGTTTCGTATAGTGAGTGTAGAGAAATGGAGACTCATTTAACTGGAATCGTGACATTCCGACTTAGTCCTCAGGGGTGACAACGCATTTGCATTTTGATTCTTAATTGAAGATAAATGTGGATGTCGATGGGCCACAGAACCTGCTTATCATCAATTGGGTTATGTGCTTGTTTGTCACGCAATGCTATAAAAAACTATAAACCGTGTAGTGGCGATACAAAAATATTCACTGCCCCATATGAGCCCTTGGGTGTCGTAAGAGGCGACAAAGGGAAACAAACAAAGCAACGTCTTCCTAATAACCATTTAGTCGTTAATAAAAACTATGGTTGCCAACCCACTTGCCAAGCGTGGCAAATAGCCTCCCTACGACGCAATCTATGGGAGAGGCCTATGTTAAGCAGTGTAAACTGACTTAAATTATCATCGCATCTATTTTTAATTTAATAAGGACTACTGAGAAAATCGGTGATGAAAATAATGACGATGGAATAAATCGGTTGGGTAAGATTTCGTGTTACGTAAATTTAAAAGAACAGTCGATTAAAAAAACCTGCTCTTTCTTGAAGTCATAGTTAAAAATAAAATTTGTCTTTTCATGGAAATCTCTCTGTACTTTAAGAAAGAAGTCCCGTGGAAAAAATGCGAACTAAAAATAAATGCAAAGTATGTAATTCGACTGCAAATTAAAGTCATATTTCGCGAACACACTTATCATAACTTCTTTCGTGACAGTGACTCTTTTACTGTCAATAAACCACGTTTTGTAATAACACCGTTACAGTTTAGGTTTCCGAGTTTGACCTTGAATTATTTCGTAGATATGCAGGTTTCTTTACTTTCCCTTTCACCACTGAGAATGAAGTTACAATAAAAATTGTTAATTACAATTTGAACGATGTATGTGACACCGTTTTCTGATTGATAGTCAGTAAGACTGCGATGCAGCAAACTTTCGGCCAAGTTTATTTCGAGTGTGTATCAAACAGCATAATTAATAACAGTTTTTTTTCATTATTTTATTTGACGTGACGTGACAGTAATATTTTTTTTATTAACTGGCTTTACGGCTCTGGTTTCTAGACCTTCTGAGCCTATCCTTTCTTTTGGAATCTTCATTTTATATTCTTTTTCTTCACAATATGTTGATGCATCACATTGCAAAGCCCTTGAGAGATTTTAACGACATCTTAACCCAGCGGACAGTTGATGACGACAGCCACTGAAGTTCATAAGGCGCCCAAGCGATCTAAATAACTTGAGGTTTGTATCGACATCAAAGCACTTGTTTCGTCGTTCTCTCTAATAGTTCACACGCGTGGACACAAAATCGCATCACTTTTACGAATCAAAATCCACTTCAAACCAAGCGACAAAACAGGAGCGACAATCCGTCTACGGCCAAGTTCCCGCCAAAACTCCGACAGTAATACGATGTGTCCATAACTTAGAGTAATTACATTAATAGTATGCATAAAGAGAGTACAATGAGGGCTAATATTATTTTACTCATCAGATGTCGCTACTTGACAATGAGGTAAAGTTTTTGTTACGCAACATCGATCACTAATAAAGAATTTTTATTAGTGATCGATGTTACGCAATGTCATTTAATTGAGAAATTAATTTTAAACAAAAGTTTATCGGTTTCTAGAGTATTAAATTAATACTCAAAACACTGATACAATAGTTTGCTCTTTAATTTTTTGCACATTTAAACTCTTTTTAAATTTTTCTACTTTCATAAATATCTGTGGTTTGGTTTATTTATTTTTAATCTAATTAATCAAAATATAACTAATAGTACAGAAATAAACATTAATATTTAAATATTTCGTACAAATTATTTTCGCTGCTATGAAATCTGTCAAATATTACACCTCATTTTTAAGTGACGCCGCTCTGGTGGCAGAAAAAGTCGTGGATGCCCTCATTCTACATAAAGGAAGTCAATATATTTATATAAATTTTTTTAATTCAATTTTCAAATAAGGCGTAAAAATGCAAATGTGTTCAAAGATATTGCGTGTAATTCATGCGTGAAAATAGTAATGTCAAGTGGTTGGTTTGGTCTCTGTTTACTCTACTATATAAAAATGTTAATAAGACCGTATCTATTCATCATCATTATCATCACTACAGCTATTTACAAGTCCACTGCTGAACATAGTCCCCCCCCAAGGATCCACAAAGACTCAGCCACCTGTATCAATCGACTTCCTGCATGTCTTACCAGGTCGTCATTCCGTCTAGTGGAGGGCCACCCTATACTTCGCCTACCGGTACGAGGCTGCCACTCGAGAATCTTTTTTCCCATCGGTTGTCGGTTCTTCGAGCTATAAAACTCGTCTTAAAGTAATTACATACATTTTACATATCAACTATCAGTTTCGTGACATTATTTTGTATCGTAATATCATTAATCGTACGATATCTGCCGAATATGGACACCTGCACGATCTTTTCTTTTTTTGTGTTGGCAAATATTGGTTCAATTTCATCTCATAATATCTTGTCCGGCAGACGTTGTTCTGCCCTTTTCGACGACCCTTTGTAATGTCCCAATAAAAATCCTTAAATTCGCAAAAAAATCGTGGGTCGCTCATGGGCAAAAAAACTATCCTATCTCTCAAGTTGGACCAAACTGCACACGGCGTGCAAATTTTATTAAAATCGGTTTAGTAGTTTAGGGGTCCATCGCGGACAAACAACGTGACACGTAATTTAAAATATATATATATATATATATATATATATAAAGATAATTATATATGACAACATTTTCGAAACCGGTGAAGTCCCGACAAACTGATGAT